TTTTTTTTTTTTTTTTTTTTTTTTTTTTTTGTGGTTGGACTCGATGATCTCTGAGGTCCCTTCCAACCACTACACTACAATTCTACAATTCTACAATTCTATAAGCAAATCATTAACTGCTTCCTCCTGGATTATGGGGGGGTTGTTCTGCTCTCCATCCTTATCTTCCAGCCCAGAAGGCTGAACACCCTGGGGGTAGCTGGTCTGACTATTGAAGATGGAGACAAAAAAGGCATTAAATATCTCAGCCTTCTCCTTGTCATTAGTTGCAATGTTTTCCCCCGCATCCAGTAAGGGATGGAGATTTTCCCTGGATTACTTTTTGTTGATGTAGTTATAAAAACTTTTTTTGTTGTCCCTTATATTAATGGCCAGGTTGAGTTCCAGCTGGGCTTTTGCCTTCCTAATTTTTTCTCTCTATAACCTAACAAGGTCTCTGTACTCCTCCTGAGTTGCCTGTCCCCTCATCCAAAGGTGGTAAACCCTCCTTTTTTCCCAAAGTCCCATCAAAAGCTATTTGTTCATCCAGGCTGCCCATTTTCCGCGCCCTTTAGTTTTGCTCTTCATGGGGACAGCCTGCTCCTGGGCCTTTAGGATTTCCTTCTTGAGGAGTGTTCAACCTTCCTGGACCCCTTTGCCCCTTAGGACTATCTCCAAAGGGACTCTCCCAACCAGAATTCTAAACAGGCTGAAGTCCACCCTCCGGAAGTCCAAGGGGAAGGTTTCGCTAACCCCTTTCTTTATCAAAGAATTGAAAACTTGACCATTTCATGATCTCTAAGGGCAAGAAGGTCTCCAACCACCACATCCCCCAGTAGTCCTTCTTTCTTTGTGAACAGCAGATCTAGTGAGGCACCTCCCCTGGTAGGCTCTTCTACCAGTTTTGTCAGGAAGTTATCTTCCATACACTCAAGGAACCTCCTAGCCTGCCTGCTCAGGTAGGTACACTCTGTCCTCTCTTCCCAGTCATTGATGAATACAATTGAACATGACCGAACCCAGTACTGACCCCTGGGGAACACCGCTGGTGAGAGGCCTCCAACTGGACCACACTGAGCTGCTGATCACAACTCTCTTTCTTGAGATAAACATACCATGGATCAAACTGTGGCATGGGACTGCTCTCTTCTGCACACATGCTGCAGGTGGAGGACAAAATGCATACAGAAAAGGGCAGGGGAAAGAACAATCTTTTAAGCTAAAGTATTAAACTAAACATGACGCGGAATGCAATCGAGAACATAGAATGTTTAATTCAAAAATTGCAGCCAAGCATTAAATTTGTCTAAGAAAAGTATATGATCTTTCATTTCACAGAAAAAATAACCATATTTTTTTAAAAAAATTATTCCTCTTTAAGTGAAGAAATTCTTATGGTTGATTCTTTCTGTGAAATTTTAAAGAAGGGATACAATTCTTCTGAGAATGCACAGTCTTTAAACGTGAACATCACAGACATGTCAGTAACATTGAAAAAAGTCACACTTTTCTCTTCACAATTAAGGTAAACTCCGACTTTCCTGGGATTTTTCTGCACTGCTAACCGAGTCCAAGGATCAGTTCTTGCCCAGTAACTTTTAAAACTTAATCCCAGAACCCAGAATTGGTCTTTAGGTGACAGAGATATGGGTCCTTTCCTTTGAGCGGATTTTCCAGCTACTCCCAGGTCCCAGTCATTGCTTTTTTCAACGTCCACCTCCCAGTAATGCTTCCCAGAGGAGAAACCTTCTGAGCCCAGCACACAGACAGCTGAATCAAAACTCTTTTCAGTTTGA